GGAAAGGAACTCCAATTAGATCCAAGTAAGCATTGAATTTGAGATTTTGCAATTAGTTTCCCGCCTTGCGAACAAGTTAAGTGACAGGTTTCGCCAACCACTTTTGAAGTACATTTACTTCTAAGATTCAAATAGGCAGGAAGTTTAGGTTCCGAACACATAGAGGAGCATTTTGGTAGGGCAGAGGACCATTTTCTGTTTTCTTGGCAGGTCAAAGTACTTTGTCCTATTATTTTCTGATTTCCTTTACAGCTAACTTCACAAACTTCACCTTTTTTCTTGAAATTGCAATTATCCTTTGTCTTTAAATCACTCGATAGAAGAAGTGGAGAGCAAGTGCAGTCTGGAAATGTGCTCCACGCATGCTCACTCAAACATGTTATTGCAGTTCTTCCAATTATACTGCCATTTTGAGAACACTTTAGTTCGCAAGATTCACTAATAATTTTCAAAGAACAACTGAATTTGACAGTCAGGTATGTTGGAAGTGTAGGTGCAGAGCATATCAGAGAGCATTTTGGCGGATTGGACCACATTCTAGTTCTTAGACACGTTATCGTTTGCTGTCCTATTAGCCTTTGATTTTTGTTGCAGCTTAATTTGCACATATCTCTTTCCTTCTTTCTGTCACAGTTCTCAGTAGTTTGTAGACCATCTGATAAAGCTGGTGACGGGCAAGTACAGTCTGGAAATTTACTCCAAGTCCTTTCGTTTAAACACGTAATTATAGGACTTCCAATAATATTACCATTTTGAGAACACTTTAGTTCGCAAGATTCACTAATAATTTTCNGTATGTTGGAAGTGTAGGTGAAGAGCATATTTCAGCACATTTTGGACTACTAGACCACATTCTACTTTTTAGACACGTTATCGTTTGCTGTCCTATTAGCCTTTGATTTTTGTTGCAGCTTAATTTGCACATATCTCCTTCTTTCTTTCTGCCACAGTCCTCAGTAGTTTGTAGACCAGCTGATAAAGCTGGTGACGGGCAAGTGCAGTCTGGAAATTTACTCCAAGTTCCTTCGTTTAAACACATAATTATAGGACTTCCAATAATATTACCATTTTGAAAACACTTTAGTTCACAAGATTCACTAATAATTTTCAAAGAGCAACTGAATTTGACAGCCAAGTATGTTGGAAGTGTAGGTGTAGAGCATATCAGAGCGCATTTTGGACTACTAGACCACATTCTACTTTTTAGACACGTTATCGTTTGCTGTCCTATTAGCCTTTGATTTTTGTTGCAGCTTAATTTGCACATATCTCCTTCCTTCTTTCTGTCACAGTTCTCAGTAGCTTGTAGACCAGCTGATAAAGCTGGTGACG